AACGGGGTGATTCACCCTCCGCAGGCGCTGGTCTTTCTCCATCCATAGAGGAAGTCTTAATGAGTAGAGTAGAGTAGACTGGACACCAGCAAGGGCTTTGACTCACATTCAAGATGAATCTCCCTCTCCTAATCACCTGCCCAAGGAGGTGTGACTGTGAACCTACCTACAAACCATCTCGGGGCCTTCTCCAAACTGATGTTTGTGAAGTTCAAAACAATGGGGCTCTTTGAGAGTTAAGTGTTTGGGAGAAAAAGAGACATTACAGTGCGAACCACTAAATGCCCTCAGCCCTTCCTAACTGACAGAGAGCACGTTTGAAAGGGTCTGCAGGTTGGCCATACAATGTGACAGTATTTGGAGACACCCCATAGCTGCATTCCCTCAACCCCATTAACCCCCTCCGAAAAAGTTTCCCAAGAGTTAGGATCAGGCGGTGCCAATCATAAAACCAATGCTAAACCTCCTTAAAACATTAAACCTTCTAATGCCAAGTTCTGAAAAAGCAGACGTGCACACCGAAACCATAGGATGTGACTGCAGCGCCGAGATTCACAAGGCTATTAATTGAGCATGTAATTGCAACTTGTGTGAGTTTGAGGGGCCGGTGGTATAAATTAGTTGCGTAAGCCCTGCACCAATGGGATAATTCAATGTATTTACAGCATGACTTTCATATTACACTTCTGTTTATAGTATTTTAGGCTCACAGTTTATACTGGGTTGCCAGCACAATTGGTAATATCAGTTAAAACAAATATTAGAGACTTCAAGCTAAAGTTTGCAGCTTCCCAGGTCCTTTCAGTTCTAAACAAAGATTTATCAGAGGCTAAAGGTATACATAAAGCTGAAGAGGAGTACAAAAGGCAATTGTTTTGAGCTCTATATGGGAAAATTGCATCTTGGACCAGGAATCAGGCTGAAGGCTGGGGTACCTCTGCTCCCTTCCTGCACCCCATTAAAGACATCTCTGTGTGGGAGACACCTGAATGTTGCATAGGCTAAAATTAAATGTCTGTGAACAAACTGTGCTGGGTCACCCCAAAACTCCTCACCAAAGCCACTGGCTTCCTGACAGGTAAGAGATTTTTGAGCATAAGTTGTCCAGTATTGGATAAAATCTATGTGTTAGCCAAATCCTTGTTGTTGCTCCTGAATCCCAATGGGAATATTCACTTGTTGTCTTCTAGGTCTTTTCAAGGAGTGATGAGCATTTCAGCTGTTGGTGCATAAAGTCTCAAGAATTGACAATGTGTTATTGTGAGTATGGACATGGGAAATGGGAGAGTACTCGGCAGCAAAAATTGCATCTTTCTGACTCAAAAAAAACATAAAGGAGGGGAGGGACTGAGGAAGCAAAAAAGGAAAATATTTTGATGAGGCGTTGAATGAGTCATTTTGACAACTTGCAATCTCTCCCTTTGTCAGCATTCTTCTCCTTGAATGTGCTGCTGAAAATGGAATTCATTATAGGAACATGTGAAGTTCACTAATTTGTTTGTTGCCTCTGGAAGTTAATCCAAACTGGCTCTTAAAATACGTTTTATGCGATAGTCTCAAAGAGCCGTGCTCCATCTCTGTAATTATCCACAGCCATAGAAAACTCCCTGCATTCAGACAGGACAATGGCAATAACTTCCCTTTTGGTAGGTTAACCAACACTGTTTGGTAGATATAAGATTGGGTTGTAGCAGGTATTTTTATAAACACAGCTTCTAGGACTGTATAGGCTCTTGCCCATGTCATTCATGAGATGTAAAGAATTGATTTGCTTATTCCAGTCCCATTCCCTTACATCCAAAGGCCAGCGATGTCCAAGGGAGTTCCACCTCATAACGTACTTTTTCCTCTCATTAGCCTACATCTTTTTTATGTTAGAAGTTGAGGCTGGGATTTTCAAAGGATGTTCCTCATAAAATTCATCAAACACTGGGCCTGGGTGCTCCTTCCTCCCTACTGCAGCCATCAAACTCGCCATGTATTCTAATTTCATCTTTGAGGCTCCCTCTATGGCTGATGGAAAGAGATAGGCATCTCCAGACAGTGATTCATGGCATCCCAAAATAGGCAGCTAAGAGAGGTGGGAGGAACCCACCTCTGGAGATGCTCGCCTCACTTCTTATTGACTACCAGTCTAGACAACCAGGCAACTAGACCAGGCGCCCCACTTCTGGATGGTTAAAGTCGGGTGAAATTAGTCCCACCCTTTGGGCGCCAAATTTCTTTAGCGCCTTTGAAGTCTTAATGAGAGTGCACAACATCACACGCTCTCCGGATTCGTTGGGTTCCTGATGCACGCATATATCATATCTCCGTGCGGTGATTAGCGCCTGTAGAGCTGAGGCTCGCAACGAAAGCAAAGGATTGTTTTGATCCTTTTCATGATGATGTTTTCCCTCCTGCGGTGGAAATGAATGTGGGATGGATGGGAACCCAAGCCCCTGAATGGGAGAGCATCCTGCTTCCTGTTAAAGCAAAAAGATAAGAAAAGGAAACAAAAAAATATTGCCGCTGTTACCAGGTTACAGCAACTTCCCTATAAATTACAGGAGCTCTTATCCCTTCTGGTTGAAGCTGTTCTCTTGGGCAGAAGAGATGCATGGAAGGAAGGAGTTGCCCATGGAAGATGGGATGAAGCACAGCAGGAGATAAACTTTTCCTTCTGTTATGCTAAAGCCCATCTTTGATTTGATTTCTGCAACTTTATGGTGTAACTGCTGAGTTTTTGGTGAAACGCCCAGCTGAATCATGAAGTGGTGATGTTCAGAGAGGTTTGAAGTCAAGCAGTCGCTAAATTAACTTATCAGACCTTGAGACGGTGATGTGGGAGCTTGGAGGTGACAAAGCAGCCCTAATTCGGTGACAGGATCGCCTATTTTCAGTAGGAACACCATAACCTTGTGACGCACTTAAACCCATCTTACTGAATATTTATGGCTGCTCGATTGTGCTTTTCTTGTCAATTCTTTCTTGTGGTTTTCTTCATTAAAGATTGTGTCTGGTTTACTTTGTGCTCCTCATATTTGATTGGAAAACAGCTTCCTATCACAGGAGAGTTACGTGGCTCTTCCGGTTCTGAATCATGATAATTTCTTCGGATAGGAAAGACCTTCCCACTGGATTCCCATTTTATAAACACATATCTGTCCAACTTGCCTCTATATGGTTCATTTCTTTGTTCTGCTCATTGGCTTTCATCAGTTTAATCGCAAAGCACTTTAGTCATTTGTGGTTGATTTATATTACTAATTCGTTGGCTTCTTTTTTTTTCATCTGCTCACATGTACAATAAAATATCTCCCTTTGATCTGTTTTGAAATCACAGGATTTCTAAAATAATGCTGAAAAAAGCAACCAAGCACATTCCTCAGGTTTTTTTTTTCCTATAATGACCCCATTGCAGCAGATTTTGAAGAGCTATAAAATGTGCTTTGTTGTCACACCTCCGTGGTAGACGTGCTATAAAAATGCAAAGAAACTCAGATGACTTCTCTATGAATCTTGAAACACCCATTGAATACCCTTGGGCAGGAGCCAAATTTGGTGCAAATCAGCATTTAAAAGCTGACTTTAAAAGGCTTCCATAACTTACACCAACCAAAGGCTGGATCTACGTGATGCTCTGTGGGCAGCCCTGCCACCTCTGCTTAACTGGTAAGACTTCCAATCAGCAGATACGTCAAATTTAGGAACAGGGCGTTTTTCTGTTCTTGGCAAATGTTGAAAACCAAGCGGCAACACATTTGTTCTCCATGCAATTTATTGGAAAAAAGAGCAAAAAGTTTAAAGCTCTTGAGCAATGATACAGAAGTGAGTGTGCTGTCGCTGATGCCTACATCAGGACACTAAGCCAGGAAGCTAATAAGAGTACAAGTGATAGAATTACTCATTGCTGGCTACAGAAGGTGAAATGTGGGGGGTTTTTAACTGAAATTTCCTTTATGGCTTGCCTGCTTGCATATGGATGACCAAACTGCTCCATGACAGCGAGTAAAGAGCATCACTGGAGTCCAGCCCCTACTCTCCATGACCCCATGTCTCACCACTGGTACTCCTTGCCTAAAATTACGTCAGGTAGACTTTGATGAAATGCTGAGTCCTAGAGAGCTCATTTCCAGAAACACTTCCCAGAGCACTCTAGGGAAAGGATTCTGAATTAATTATCACAAATTGATTCATAGATAGCAAAGGTTTAATCAGAGAGAAAAAGAAGCCTGGTGGGAAGCAGGAGCCAAGCGATAATAAAATAAGTGCCCCAACACAACCAGCAGCCCTTTAAAGAAACAGCAGAAATCAAAAGGAATATGTTTTAAGTGTCCTTTTTTTGATGTGATTTTGAGTTTCTCTGATGTGGTTTCATGATGCTGTTCCATGATGTTCTTGCACCCGGTGTGCCTCGCCTCTTCCTTGTCTGTAAGGTGGAGCTGAGGACACTTTTACGACCCAAAGTAGAGCAGGGATTTCATTTTTTCTACTTCACATCCTGGTTGTCCTGACTCTCACAGCTGAAGTTTAGATCTGGCTATTCCCAGCGCATGGAGGCGCGGTTGAAACCCTCACCCCTGGCCAACACATCCCATGTGGTTCAGCTGCATCTCCCCTGTTCTTTGCAGCGCTGCAGCTCTCTCCACAGCTCCCTGCAGTCCCATTGCATCTCTGGCACGAATGGCCCCAACCTCTGACCTTAAAGTCTTCACTCTTAGGGATGCATCTGGGAGCACCGGAGCTGCCTCCAGAGCTGGCAGCACTTCTGGAGGTGAATCCTCTATGGCAGGCACCAGCATCCTCGGGTAGGGATGCTCCACCAGCACTACATCTTCTGGATTGTCTACCACATCCGTGTCCCAGCTCGGCTTTACAACCAGAGGTGGTGTCACAAGGGGTGGTGATCACTGTCATGGGAAAACACGAGCTGAATCACTCATGGGGAGGACACAGCCTTCCACCTCAAACCAGAACTAGATTGATTAATGTTGTAAGGAAAATAGACAACCTTGAGCTTACTTACACACTCTCACAGGGCTCCCGAGGCGTATCCTGAAGGAGAAGAAGGACACAAGTTTATCCATCATGTAACTAGCATTCCTAGCCTTTTCCAGCCTCCTTCTCTTGGTTGAAGAGTCCCAAGGACTGGACGCTGCCCACACACGGTAGGGGTGGTGCCCACTCATGGTAGTAGTGGTACCCACCTGCTCTCCTCACCCTCCAGTAGGGTCTTATACGTTGCAATCTCAATATCCAGGGCCAGTTTGATGTTCAGCAGCTCCTGATAATCCCGCAGCCTGCAGGCCAGCTCATCCTTGGCCTTCTGCAGGGCATTCTGCAGCTCCACGTGCTTCTCCCGGGCATCTTTCAGGGCACAGTCCCCATGATGCTCAGTGTCACTAACTGACGCTTGCAGAGAGGATACCTGTCAGAGAAGACACAAAAAGTCCTTCCTTTCCATGTCCTCTTTATTACCTTTGAAAGAGAAAATCTCACTTCGTTTGAGAGTCCCAAATTGGGAAGAATTGAGGTTTCTTTTAGGAAAGCCAAATGTTTCCAAAAAAATCAATTATCAATTCTGAAACACTACAGAAAGGCTGGACATGACCCTGTACTGCCAGACTGTGTTTAAGCCTTGTTTCAAGGATGCCAATATTCTGTTCTAATTGGAACTAATAATTAAGGTTTTCCATTACTTCCCGTTATAAACTATATAATGAATTAGATGGTCTGAAAATTACACCAGTTTCTATGGGTGCTGAATTACTGGTGAGTCATAACTCTACCCTACTCGTTGGATGCTTTGAACCTGTGTCAGAAGCTCTGTCTGCTGCCAGAATTCTCACTGAAGCAATTTTAGCAGTTTTCCAAGAGGCTGTAGCTAATCCAATGATCTAATTTGGTGCAATTAGTTCTTTGCAATATTCAAAATAATCCAGCAGAAAATTGGCCAGCAAATAATTCTTCTTCTCGGCTTAGCACTGGTGAGATCTTCTCTAGGCCAATCGCCATGAGAGGCAATGGTCTTCAATAAAGACAAAAGAAACAGATGTAGCAAACATGATTTGGGACCTCACATCTAGGGGATCCAGTAAGTAAATATGATCCATCATACCTGCTTCTTCACGTTTTCAAGGTCACACTGCCTTTTCTGGATCTCAAAACTCAGCTCTTCAATCCCTTGCTGCTGGGACTTCAGCTCATTGCAATGTCTCCTCTTTGCCTCCTGGAGCTCTTGGTACTGATGGTAGGAAAGGAGAGAGGTGGTAATTAACATGGGCAGTGTGTCTAACATGGGAGCCTTGCTCCTGTTCCCAATGTGAATTAAACTAGCTTTAGAAAAGTCCTTCAGCAGCAAAGGGAGCTTTGATAGAATTATAAAATCATAGAATACCAGGTTGGGAGGGACCACAAGAATCATCCAATCCAACCTCTCAAGGTAAAAGTAGAGTTTAAATTACATGAGGCAGCACCCTGTCAAGCTGACTCTTAAAACTGACCAGAGTAGGGGGATTCACCACTTCCCCGGGGAGATTATTCCAATGTCTGATTGATAGATTATTCCAATTTCTCATTGATAGATTATTCCACTATCTAATGGATGAATTATTCCAGTTTCTCATTGATAGATTATTCCAGTGTCTGATTGATGTCTTGGTAAAACATTCCCTCCTGGAGTTCAATGGGAATCTCCCCAGCAGCACCTTGTGTTCATCTCTCCACGTGACTCCTTGTTAAAGGAGTCTCCATCTCCTTGGTGCCACCCTTTATGCACTGGTCCATGGTGATAAGGTCCCCCCCAAGTCTTCTCCTCCCAAGGCTGAACAGGTCCAGTTTTCTCAGCCTTTCTTCATACGGCAGCTCTTCCAGTCCTCTGATCATCCTCGTGACCCTTCTCTGGACCCCTTCCAACCTGTCCGCATCTTTTTTTGATAGCCGGGAGCTTTCCTCCTGTGGTTTTCACTGTTCAACTCACGTACAGCCTCCCCATTCCCAGCATGACCAAGTCCTGTCCTATTGCACCGTATCTGTTTTGGGGACGTCCTCCTGCCTTTGAGACCTCATCCAGTTTAGCAGAATGGAAAATCAGGTCAAGAAGTTACATAGTGAAGATAGAAAGAAAAAAAATCACTGCATTCCCACTACTGCTTTTGCCAGTGAGAGAATTAAGGAGGTGTCACTGGATGGGACAACTCACCCTCATCCTGTAGAGTGCATCCAGCTCTGCTTTGCTTTTCTGAGCTATGTCCTCATACCAGCACTCGATGCTCCTGAGGATGCCCTCCACATCCAGGCCTCGGTTGTTGTCCATTTTCATGACAACAGATGTGTCACAGGGACTTCTCTCCAGCTCAGTCATTTCCTAGAAGCCATGTGAAATTGCAATGAGGTGTCCCTGGGTTTCTCATTTCACACCCCAGTGGAAGTAACACCACCACTGAGAGCTTGTCCTGAGCCACAGCCCAGGATCTGAGACCAGATTTGGTCACGCATGCGGCTTGAGGGATTTTGCGTTGTTCTGGGTTTTTCTGAGATCTCAAACTCTTCCTTATCTGGAATTCCCATTGCCTCCAAAGAGAGCCTGATGGGTTGGTTTAATTGAGCCTAAATCAACGTGGACAAGGAGCAGCCAGTAGTAATCGCTGCCATCAAGCAAGGCTGGGACAGGAGCATCCATACCTGAGCAGAAACACGTTGCAGGAACTCTATCTCCTGCTTCAGGGTTTCCACCTTTGCTTCCAGCTCTATCTTGGCCAGATAGACACGGTCCACATCCTAAAAGAGTTTCCAGACATTTAGAAGTCAAAACGGTGCCTGCACAGACACTTAAGGCAATTTCATTATATTTTTAGAGTAAGATATTTTCTTTAGGAAATGTAATTGAGAGGCTCAGATAACCCCTAAGCAGCAACAGCAGAGGGGTCCCAAAAGCATACACAATATTGCAGAGTTTTTGCTTGCAAAACATCATGATTTGGGCATTAGGACTAGCAAGTTTAGAACGAAATACACTTTCTGTGCTAAAGAACAGAGGTTTAATGCTCTCTGGCAATACTCTAGGACAAGTTTTTCTGTATCAGTACTTGTCCAATGACATAAAACATCCACAAGACCTGACCCTTGCCTTTCAAGAAGCAAATAAGTGGAAAGTCCTTGGGTCTCTGCATCCAACCCTTCCATGCATGCATATTCCTCACCTTCTTCAGTAACACAAACTCATTCTCGGCCGCTGTGCGTCTGTTCAGTTCCTGTTCGTATCTGTTGGGGAAGCGGGAAGAGTGGTTGCTGGGTCATTCTGAGACTGGAGACCTCGTTTGTGGTGTTTAGGGGTCAGAGTGCTTTTGGGTCTGAGCCTTTTGTGAGAAAAGTCTATTTAATATGGACAAAACTACAAGTCCAAGTAGACAAGCTGTCCTCTGCTCACTCACTTGCATCTGAACTCTTCAACAAGCTTCCCCGCGTCGTTCAGCTCCAGCTCCATCTGCCCCTTCTCATGCAGCAGGGAGTCCAGGCGCCTCTGCAGGCTGCAGATGAAGCTGTTGAAGACGTGCTTGATGTTCTTCTGGGACGGCAGGACCTGCTTCTGGAGGAGATCCCACTTGGTGGCCAGCACCCTGTTCTGCTGCTGCAAATGCTGCACCTGCGTTCAGAAAGCAAAGACACCTTCTTCAGCCGCACGCTTAGATGCGTTGTTTGGGGACCAGATGAATGTGTGGGGCTCAAGGCATCTTCTCTTCGGAGTCAGTGCTCCATGGGCTCATTGCAGTTTGAAGGGGATGAGAGGACAAAAGAAGGGCATTGCAATTTGCACGATCCTATAATCCTAGAGCAAACTGGGCATGCTACTCTCCTGTTCTCCCTAGACAGCACAGCCTTTGTGGCAGCTACAAAACACATAGAATATTTAAATAGATCTGTGTATCAATTGGGTGATAGTGGAAACCATCATTTATGAATAGAAGATGATGCAACTTTACCAGGTCTAGCGGCACAGAGAGAAGTCAACAGTGCAGAAGCTCAATAAGTTACCTTGGAAGAACAGCTCCCTTCCACTATTAATAATAAAAACAGATGCAGCTTATCAAAGCACATAAAGCAGATTAAAATAACATTACCAGCTAGATCTGCACTTGCCTGTCATGACACTGGAGTCATGCATGCTAAAACCAGCACAAGGCTCATGTAATAGGATGAGATGGAGAGGAATCAAAGACCCGAGCACAAAAATGTTTCCTTTAAACCTCATCATCACTTTAAGCCTTGTCCCGGCTCTCACCTTGTCAATCAAAGAGGCAAACTGGTTATTGAGGCTCTTCATTTGCTCTCTCTCCTGCTTTCGGATGTGCCGGATTTCGGGGTCGATCTTCACATCGAGAGGCCGCAGCAGGCTCTCGTTGACGTGCACCGCACGAATGCCTTCACCTCTGCAGCCGTGAGAGCCTAACCCACGGCTCCCACCTTCACTGCTGGCATGGATGCCCCTGCACCCCCAGCCTCCACAGACCCCCTGGGGGAGGCTTTGGCCAGAAGAAACCCATTGGCACCTATCTGTGTTGGGGAGGCTTTGGCCGCTGTGGCTCCAGGCTCCAAAACCTCTTCCATATAGCGCAGCAGAGGGGAACGTGCTGCTTCGGCAGCAGCTCATGCCACCGGCAGCAGAAGATGATGAGAAGAACCTTGGTCCATGAAAAGCCCTTGCAGCTGACAGCTGCTGGCTCATGCTGGCAGTTGGGGTGGAGGAGAGGATGCTGAGGACAGCAGAGACTCAACAAGGGGCCCCTCTGCTCCAACACCTCTGAGCATCGCCTTTATACACCTCGCAGAAGCAGGGCTTGGTTGATGCAGATGAATAATTTGGGGTTTTTCTTGGGGTTTGTCTTGCCTGGCAGCGATTTGTAGGTTTAAATATGCAAAACAATGCATAACACTGAACATTTGTGAAATATTATGGAATTTCACTGGTTTTACATTGCTTTGTTTGTGTACTCAGCTTGGAGCATCCCATGGGCTGGGTTTTGTGAGGATTCTTCTTTCGGTTTAGGTTGTCCTCCTTCCTTACATTAATTACAGTTTAGCAAATGGCCTTAAGAGTATTTCCCTCTGTCAAGGCCAATCTGCAAAGGAATATTCTGTTGAACAGCAAATTTTAAGTGGTTTTTGCAGTATCTGTTCCTTTCATAGTCACTCCCATCACAAAGGACAGTACAAGTCCATGAGGCACAGCCAAAGTCTACCCTATGCTTGGAAACTGGGAACCATAGCACGGACCAGACACACAAATATCCTTGCTGTGGTATATGAGTGCAAAATACTTCAATTCTATAAATATATAATATAAGAATTGGGCAGGACTCACCTCTTCTAACTTTTCAAAGAATCCAAGAATATCAGGAGTTGGAAGGGA